GGCTTTCATACAGCTCAAGGTGCAGCATATTATTCTTGGTTGTCATCTTCTACTGACACAGTTTAATACCGAAAGAGTTGATCCTCTGCAGTGGGACTCTGCTGTGACTATAATCCATGGTGTGCAGAACAGGGATTAGTGAGAGAACTGATGAGAGAGCATTAGGTCTTTAACCACTGCATTAACAATATACAAGGCAACTGTCCACACAGCTTTGAAGAAATCAGAAGATGATTTTAAACCTGGCTAAGTTCTCAGTTTAAGAGTCACTGTTCTTCTGTGTTCTAACCTGTATATGGATACTACATGCTTCCTGGCCAACACTCAGCTCTGCCATCATATGGCATAGGTTGTGTCAATAACCTAGCCTTTGTGATCCACATAAAAAGTGTTGAACCTTAAAAAGAAGCAGAAAGTCTCTTTGCCTGACAGAATCATGATCCTCCCACATCATTTTGTGAAGATTATTTTTGTAAAGATTATTTTGTGTAGCAACTGTCAGTGCCAGGTGATGTGATTACAAGCCCTAACATGGCTGAATTTAACTCAGGGTAGGGATAACAAATGACTACTCAGCCTCTGCAGCCAGTTAGCATTCGTACAGATATCAGGTTTATCAAGTGTACATGACCAGCATGAGTTATAAATGACTCCCTCCAGTTTCACCAAAGCCTCCCTATACTTGTAACTTACATCTAATTCTGCTAAGGAAGTATAAAGCTGACTACAAACAGAGCACTGGAATGCCTTAACAGAGCTTTATCAATACCTGAAGCATACTAGACATGTTTATATACTTGACTATATTTTTTCAGAATCCAAGAACGAACATATTCATTGTGGGCTCACTTGTGGAAAAATCGTGCAGATTACCTGAATCCTTTGTACAGACCAGACCACAGTCAAACCTGGGGGACCCTGCACCCACAGATGGCTCCCTGCAACTTCTTGTACAAGTAGGTAATATTCCCTGCCTTTGAGAATTGTCAAGGAACAGACTCCTTGCATATTTGCTGCATTCCACCCTGGAGATTTCTTCAGCACTTTTTTTTTTTTTTTTTAATTTTAAGAGAGGAGTATCCCAATAAGTTATCTCCAATAACTGCTCCGCACAACACACCCTGTGATTACAGTCACTAAAGCATCTCAGTATTTAGAAGGAACTGAGGAGATCACATGAAGTCTGGTTATGAGAATTAGAGCTCAAGGGGCTCTCAGGCTGCTTGCTATTTATGGGGTAAGATGATTGGCTCATAGTCATAGCATTTAGCAGGACATCAGTCCTAAGCTAGGCTGTGGGCATAACAGCCAAGCCAAAGGAGGAGACTAAAGGAGGGGGGGGAGCACACTGTCACAGATGTGTTAGTACAGAACATAATGTGTTTGTATTTTTGATTCCATTAGAAAATGTATGGAGACTGAATTCAGGTTCAGATGTGATGTGTCTCTTCCTTGCATGCTCATAGTCAGCCAACACCTTTGCAGCATTCCACAGCAGAGTATTAGTCTGAAAAGAAGCTTAAGATTAGAGCTATATTGATAGTTGTGTGTCCTAATTTTGTGGTTACTCACATCTTCTACTGAGAAGCAGTTATTTCAGTTCTGCTACCATCAATGTTTTCTAAATTTAAATTTTTTTAAGCTTCTTCCATTTGCAATCATTTTTGCAATCATAATTTGATACAGTTTAATTGCTAAACCAAGCATTCGGACAAAAACAAAGGACTTTTTCCATGTTGTCATTATACTGAAATATTAAGTAAAACCTGTTGTGTATACTATTAAGATTTTTTCAGAATTTAACAATGCCTACTAAGTTTTGCAGTGCTGGTGTTGGCATCCTGACTCAAGTAATTAATAGTTGATTAATCTTAACATAAGGAGAACTTGATTAGAAATACACAAAAAAGGTGACTTAAGCAAAACCAATTAGCTTGTTTTCTAATAGCAAGTAAAATCACTTGCTAAAATAAACATCGTAGGTGACAGGAACTGTATTTTTTCATGTCTGCTGTCCCAGGTCATAGCCATTTTAAAACAGTTTAAAAATAGCCATTAATCTTATTCTTTGATACAGTGAGATTTATAAAAGAAATACTGATACTCCACTGGATGAGTAATCCAGTTGATTTTAATTGAATTACTTGGTTGCGTGAGGATTTCCAAACATGAGCTATCATATGATAAACTTAGGGAAGAATCTGACTTAGATAATGTACTCAATAGCTTCTTGACTGCTGCATCCAAGGGCAGCTCTCTTAGTTACTTAACCTGTCCAGTGAACTATTTACACTTGCAAAGTCAGGTTCTGGCCACGTGCTCTGAGGAAAACAGAAGAGTACTATAGCAAGCTACAGACTTGAGTTTGAGTTCTTTTCTCAGGATGAAAACCAGCTCAATGCTCCAAAGTGCATACAATGTAAATAGAAGAAAGTACTGTAGCAAAAGTTTGCCTTACTCTTGGAAGATACTTGTTCCGCTGTGCCATTGCTTATCCATGATGACAAGAATTGCTGAAAGCCTGAATCAGTGAGCCACCCAAAGCTGTGACCTAAGTCATTCACCTTTCTCTCTGTTGTGTATAAGAAGTGGTTCAAGCTCTGTCCACTGATTTGCATCTTCAGCATAGACCTAATGTAAATGAACCACAAACCTTACCAAATTAAATATTTAATGAATGTATGCAACATGTGTACGCACTCCAACAACAGCTGGGAAAAAAAGGCTGAAAAAAAGGTATGTACTTAAGTCTTCTGAGGCCACCTCACAAAATTACTGATCTCCCCATCAATTTCAGATTCTGGAGTGGTATGTACAACCGCTTTGAAAAAGGGCTGCATCCTCGACAGTCAGTCATTGATTATCTGATGGCAGTGAAGGAGGAGACTCAACAGCTGGAAGAAGAACTGGCAGTCTTAGGAGAGGTAATAAGCACTTATTAAAAACTGGACATTCAGAGCTAATGGTAAACAAAACCCAATTCCACATGTGGAAGAGTCTCCTACATGCCTTATCCATTTCTGCCATGAGGATGTCCAGCCATTGTCTACGTCCTCACATAAATTGCTAGGAATGATTTGCTTTTGGCATCCATAAGACAAAAAGGTGGACTTCTTTCTTTAAGGAATAAAAAAATCATGTGCTGGTGCACAAATACTATTCCTGAAACACATTTTATGTCATTCAGTAACTCAGTTCCACATACTTCACAAATAGGTTTATAGGGTGCCACTTGGATTGGGCCCTTAACTTAATTTCTTTTTCTTTGTTTTTCAAAAGGTAAAGACACTTAAAAGGAAAACTGAGTCCCAAATGTGTGCATGTAATATATACTCTCTCTTTTATTTCAGAGATTGGCAAATCTTCAAAAATTGCAATTAAATGGTAATAAAGTCAAGAGTAAGCAGCAAGACCGAAGCAAGGAGTTAGTGCTTTCTGCTTCCAACAACAGCTTAGCTAACACTCCCCAAGAGTACAGCAATGATCTGAAATCATTCCCATCCCGGAGCCCTTCACAAGGGGATGAAGAAGATTCAGCCTTGATTTTGACGCAGGACAACCTGAAAAGCTCTGATCCTGACCTCTCAGCTAACAGTGACCAAGAGTCTGGTGTGGAGGACTTAAGTTGTAGGTCCCCAAGTGCGGGTGGCTGTTTGCCTAGTGAAGACAGTGGCAAGGATTCAGATGAAGCTGTATGCCTGGCAGTCTGAAATGCCTTCACAGCAGCAAGGATCAAGATGCAGCTGAGTCCTTCATGGTCTGGAGCGACAACTTTGATTCAGATGAAGAATGGGAATTGTCTGTGGCCTGAAGAAATAATCCAAAGAAAGGGAACTGTGCAATTATGTAAGTAAAGATTTAGCAGAACAAGCCATTATTAAAGACATAATGCTAATAAATGGTAATCTCTGATGTTATGAATACTTATTTAAGCCGATGTGGTATTTCTTTTCACTTTATCAATGCTGCACATAACTATTCCTTACTCTGTACATTTCCATAATTATTTATTGTACAAATTAATAGTTATTCTCCAGAAACACAAAATTCCAAAGTACTTTATGTATGGACAACGCTGAAGGTTCATTAGCACTAGGCTTACTGGTGTATTAGTCAAAACTTATTTTTGTAGGTTTTTTTTGCCTTTAGACATACCATATACTCCTTTCTTTTCCTATGAGCAGTGTTGTTTGTTTGTTTGTTTTTTGAACTCCAACAACTATTTTCCATTTTCTCCTACTACCGTCCTTTAGGGCAATGTAAACCCAGCAAATGAACATGCATGCTGAAGGGGTCAAATGCAGTATTGAGCCCAAAGAAAGATTCTTTACTAAGCTGCAGCTGCTGCATGTGACTGCATCCCATTTGTACTTGATTCTGTGTTGACAGTTCAGAAGTTTCTGTGAGCAAAACTTCAACAATACTTGTAACAGTCTTTATGGCAAAGAGTTCCTTTAAAATGAACAATGTTAGGCCGTAAAATTCTGAACGTAATAAAAATCCTGTCTATTTTGACTCCTAATCATCAGTGTGATTTCAGTGGAAGTAAGACACATGTACTGCACAGGTGATGAGGAGTCCGAACTCACTCATAAAAGTCATTTATGAAAGCTCTGAATTCAGAATTAAAAGTTATTGCCATACGATAATTCCTATGAAGAACATTTCTTCCAAATTTTGTTTAAAATACAAAACCAAGGTGTTTTTATCTGCACACAATTTTTCTCTTTTTAGCATTTGCCAACCTCAAAAGAGCATAGTAATGCAATTTAAGAAAATGACTAATTTAAAGAATTGTTTTTTCTTTTCTAATATTAAAGATGGAGTGGAACAGCACAATGGAAAATAAAATCTCAAGTTTGGTTTAATAATTTTCAACAGTAAGTACGATAGTTTTCATAATCACAGATATGGAAGTAAACCACTTAGGATGTTTTGAAACACACTGAAAGGCCTCCACATCAAGCTGTAGTGCTTCCAAGTCTTTTTTTTTTTTTTTTCTTCCCTCCTTAATAGGAAGGAATTAAAAATATAATTCTTGTGTCTGCTCTTACTGGCTTGGAGGCAATGATGTGGTATTGAGCTCCAGTAAAGCAAAGCATGATAGTAATGTAAGTTTACTTTGATTGCACTTTGTATTTCTCCTTGAAGTACAGATTTACAGGCTGAATTATATAAATATACCTCAATTTAGAATTTTAGATTTTATTAGTCCAGTTGCTTTTGTGGGATGTCTTTTCATTTTGTTCTAAGAACTTCTTATTAAAAATGAGTAGCTAAAATTCAGTATTATTAATATCCTAAGGAAGTTACTGTCTTTGAACAAATAATTCAGTTCTTAACAGCGAGATTTATCTTACTGCTGTGCTGGGAAGGCCAAGCCTCAGTTTGATAAATCACTGTCACTCAATTAAAAATAGGGCTATGATAAATTACATGCTGCTGAAAATCTTCAGCCTTCTGGTTTTTAATCTCCATGGCTTTTTATTAAACGAATATCCTGATTTTAATTGTACTTTTAAAAATGTTTCATATTTTGAACGTAGCCTGTCAAATGTACGGTATTAAAAGAAGTTTTGAATGGGTTTTCTCAAAGTAAAGAAACATGCTGTGAAGTCAGCATTGAAAACAAAATATGTACAACTATTCTTCCTAAAAATGAGTTTGAGAGTGGGTGATATTATTTCACATCTTTAAAATGTAGAATTGTATATCATGGTATTGTATTGTATTGTATTAGATGTGCCTAGAAACAAACGCAGAACAGGAATATATGCAAACTCAAAGTACTATCTTTATGTTGCTTATGCAATTTCTTGTAACTAGCTTTACACTGAAATATTGACATACTAACATTTTAAATGAAGTTTCTGCTTAGCAGTCTGCTGTGATGTGTCTTTGAATCCTTGAATTTTGCATTACTTACTATTGTTTTCATTGCAATGTTATGTATTTGTGACATTATTAGTGCTGAGAAACAATTCCAAATAAATATGTAGGTCATGGACAGATGGTTACTTCATAATCCTGGATGAAATTAAGGTAGCTTTTTCTTCTTCACACTTGAATCAAGTTGTTTAAGCTGCTATCAATTGACTTGAGTTTATTACATGGGAATCTGTTTTTTTAAATTTTTCTAGGGAATGCAGAATACAAAGGATGTGAAAACCACTCTATGAACAACTTTATTTTTTTGGAGCCTTGCAGGGATCCTCCCTCTGTTGCAAATTTTTCCAAATTTGGCATAAGTCCTCCGTAATTTGTAATAGGACACACATGAGCATAACAAACAGCTGGGAAGAAGGGATTAGAAGAGCATTATAGGTTTCTGCAGTGTAATTTTAGCCTCATTTCATGGTGTTCTTTAGTAGGAAAATATGTATCTAAAGGACACTGACATTAACAGGATCAAACAGTGAATCAAATAAATGATCTCTGGCTGAAGAACCAAATGAAAAAGTATTGACCAGCTGCTTCAACACAACAACAACAAAGGTAGTAAATTGGTAATTGATTCTGAGAAGTTGAGAAATAAAATGAAAAAAGTTGGAGAGGGCAGCCTAGAGAAGAAGGATCTTGCCAAAAGCAATGAACAAGGAGGAAAACTCTTCATAAAATTAAGTGAGGGGGCGAACTACATTCTTGGAAGTTACAGTAAGTTTATGTAGCATAGATGTTTGGCAATACAAATAATACAATAATTAAAAGAGCAATAACAAAGAGGTGGCCTTTGCCTAAAAGATAAGGATTTCAACTGGAGTACAGCAAGCCTGTATTGAGAAAAGCCAGAAGCATTGCCAGAGAACTGGGAGATAGAAAAGAATATTAAAATAAGCATTTAACTTACGTTATTTAGACTGGTACCAATAAGGCACCAGAAGCCAGCAAATAATACTGTTTTAAAGTTTAGTGGTTTTCTAATATAAAGCATTCTGTAAAAGAATCTAACTAGACTTTATTAGTTCACTAAAACCAGTGACTGAACTGAAGCAAGGACTTGTTTTTAAGTCTATGGGTTGCGAAGTATTCTGAACAATGCCCTGTTCTCAATGACTGAAAATTTCAGTTCCTTTCTTACTGTGTTACAGTACTCACTTATTACTGGTACGCAGGCTTTCTTTGTAGCTTATTACTATATTTGATCTCTAGAGCTATCTGACCAAGCCAAAACATGTAAAAAAGCTTGAACTAGAACTGCAATATGGGTTTTCAAAACCCATTTTAATGAAGAAGGCTCCAGGAATTACTGCAGTTCAAAGAGTTAAACAGGAAAAGCTCAAAACACTGCATACAAAGAATGGAAATTTGCCTTTTTGAGTAGTTTCTGCACCACTGGTTTCCAGCCAACATCTGAAATGCACAACTCTATCCATAATTTAAGACAATTACCAAATTTGTCAAAAATCCCAAAGCCTTTATTTGTAAGTTTAACACAGTACAGTATTTATTATTCAGAGTAATGTATACAATAAGGCTGTAATAGCTAACTTTAACTGTGTTGCCTGTGTTTTATTTCAGCTTTCTCCTCTTAAGAGACCATTCCTAGTCTTCAGTGAGAGTAATAAGAACTCAGTCAGAAACAAGGTTCAAAGTGGCAAAGCTGCAGCAGTATGTACAGAGCAAAAAAGACAGTTAAAGATTAGATATTACTTAGAACTAATTTATACAGTCTTTTGCTTGTAGCATTGGTTAGCATAGCTGTACATATTTGACAGTCCCTGTCTTTCAGAAGGGTTTAGCATGTAAAATAAGCTAGGAAAGCTTTCTTCTATAATTCCCAATAGAATGTATCACTAACAGCAGTTGTATGCAATTTCCCCCTAAAAGGAAACCTAATTGATTTCAGACTTATTTTAAATTTCTCTGGTCTGCAATACCATCGAGTTACAATTGCTATATGGAGCAATCACTTCTGGATTTAAGTAGTCTCTTGCCAAGAGGACTAAAATCAACTACAGAAAAATAAAAAACAGGAAAACATTTTGTAGTGAGATCAGATACTCTAGCAGGCACAACCAGGCTCAATTAGCAGTTACAAAACAGAATGGGCTATCGATCCCACCCCAAACTACTGCAACACCAAAAACACCAAAGTCACCTCCTTACTTTCACACTTCTTACTCAGTTATTTCACTCTTCCATTTGGCAAACACCTCACTACAGATGTGACACAGGGGAAGGTCTTCAGAAACAGGTCACTGGATGCAAGCTATTACTCCAGACTGCTGAACACATTTCAAGAGATTGTAGGGTATGCATCTAACAGTAGTTTCAATCCTCTTACACTTCATAGGGAAGTGCTTAAAGTTCGATTTACAAATATACCTCACATTTCTGCAAAATAAGGTAAGGAATGTGCTTCACTATGAACTATCAGCATGCTACATGCCAGTTACCTCTGACAGAGTAATAATTGGTGTTTTATTATGTGTTCTGGTGACATTAAGAAGGCTAGCTTTAAGGAAAAGTGTTTGCATTGGCACAACTAGTATTGAACTAAAAGAACAACAAAAGAAAATAAAAAGCAACAACACTGACAAAGACAGCAGCAGACTGGCATATCCTGTAAGAGCCAGAAGCAGGCTGGCCATTCCTATTTTATTTTACAGGATATCTGTAATTGACTAAGTATACCATTGATGGATTCAGGGTGTTAAATGCTTAAAAAAAATAAAATCTTAAAAATAGAAACAACACTATGAGAGAGAAAATAAAAAGGGAGAAAACAACTTCAGATTTCCACATCCCTGGAAAAGAAACACTGTATGAAGAACTTGCATGGAACACTGACATTTTAGATTCTCCTTCACTACCATCAGAAGGACTCTGGGGAAACCCTACATTTCTAAGTGTGATCTCCTGGAAAACACAACTAACCTAAGAGAAAAGGCTCAAGCGTGGAAAACTCTTACTAGTTTGAGAAGCAAATTCTCTGAAAGTGACCTGGCTGGAGAGTTCACTCACTACAGAAGAGCACCATATTATGTAACATTTAACAGAAGGCAGCAATTCCATAGGATTATAAAATGTGCAAGGAAAACAGTTGTCTAACTGAGGGAGAGCTGCAGAAATCACGTTACTGTGTCCAGAGCCTCCTGAAAACCTTTCATGCAAGCTTGTGTTGAATTAGGACTTTAGTTATCAAATTAGCAGAAGTACTATACCAATATAAAAAGCACTATTATGCACAGTCAGTGGAATTTATCTTTTAAGATATTCTGTACATTATTGCTTAATCAGTGGCACTTACAATTAATTTTTTCTTCAGGCACCTATGTATCTTTTTTGATTTGGACCACAGTTGTATTTTTCTTGGGATAGCCAATCTCAGAATTTGGGCCAGCTTTACAAAAAACAACCACCACCTCATCAAACAGCAGTAATATATTTGCCATGAAAGGCAGTAGCTTAAGACAGACAACGACAATACTGTGAAGTACAACAGGACTGATATTAATGTCCCATTTGAAGATTCACTAGCCTGTGGTACTGAATTCTTGCAATTAAGCTTGTTGATTTTTCTTAACTTCAAATTTATTCATTTTTCTCCAGTTCCAAAGAAATATCCTGTCCCATTTTGCCAGTATTGAGTTTAGGACTGATAGTGATACAGAAAAGTACTCTCCCGAACCAACCTTCCAACCTTAATGACTCTATGACCTGCTTTAGAATAAGACTTGAATCTGTGATGCTTTGTGGCACTACCTAGGTAAAATAGAACAATGTCTTAGTTAAGAGGGTTGTTTCCAAACTGTTTCCTGATAAGGAAGAAGCAGGCTCCCTGACAAATTACTTATTCAGTTTTTTACCATATTTCTCTTCAAGAACAGTACTTCTGTTCTTCTGAAACTTCATCATCTCCACAAAAATTTAATTCACTGACAAGAACAAGATCTTGCCTTTTTTCAAGAGCAAGAGAGAATATACATGCATGTGCTTGGGGGTTGTATTTTTGTCCTACAGAATACTGCATTTACTCCTAGCCATTCTCATCTAATATATGCTTACACTAAAAAAAGAAACAAACAAGTTGTCTAACCTGAGACAAGATTCAGTGATTAAAGGGCAGACGTAAGGCTCACTTACAAGTTTATCATTGGCCTTAAGACAACACACAACCTAACTGTAGCCAGATCAGTTCCTTTCTTGCTTAAAAATAAGAGGGTAACTGCAACTTCAAAAGAAATTCAGAATTAAATTTTGTAGTGTCTTTGAGTTCTTCACACACAGTCGCATTGCATGAAACACAAACTAGAAGGTAATCTGACTTGTTTCTCAGTAAGTAAAAACAAACGTGAAAATGAAATTGTTAGATGAAATTGTGTTTAATTACAGTGCTAGGTACCAGGCCACACCTGAAATCAAGTGCATCGGTGCTATTGAGCAACATATCAAATCTACACAGAGATCATTCATTCCATTTTGTTTCCAATATAGTTTGTTCCAACACAACCTTTGCTTAATCCAGATCTGCTTATCCAAATCAGAGTACAGGCTATAATTAGTTTTGTGTTATCACTTAAAAGTAACAAAAATTGTTCTTAAACATTTGGCTTCAAGAAAAGACAGCTTGTGAATTTACTATCTCCAATTACGACCTTTTTCAGTTTCCAAAGCTCTATCACCATTTATTTCAAACTCTTCCACAGATCAAGCCAAATCCATTTAAATTTCAAAATACAAAAGATATGAATTATGCTTTTATAAAAATGTAAAAAGCTAGTCAAAATTACATATTTAGATATTTAATCTTTGAAGAATGGGGTATAGCAGCAGGAACTTAAATATAATAAGAACTATCAACAATAAATACAAGAAATTAGTGCAAAGTTTGCAATAGAAGGATTCTTGAGTACAATGAGAATATAAAGAGACATTCTAATTTGTACAAAAACAGTCCCAGCTCTGTATACAATCTCTTCTATAAATACAACCACATAAGATGAAATGCCTATTTGCAAATAATAGTTATTAAAAAATGTGCTTTACTGGGTTTTTCACTCTTCTGTTGGCAGATGCAGTTTGCAGGAAACCTGTAAAGACAGATTTCCATAATTAAATATATTAACTCCTCCAGGAATAGTGTCTTAAATTTCAGTGAACAGGTGCAGCACACTTTATTCCCAAGCAAAGCATTATTAAAACTCTAGGCATTACAACAAATCCATTACAGTTAGCAATTTGTGTGTAACAATGTGGTAGATTAAAAAAAAAGTTAATCACAAATATGAAAAAAGCAGTTTACCTATAGCGGAGCATGAAATTGGCTGTGCATTGCTATTGCCTGTTGAAGTTTTTCTTCTTTGGCTCGTCTACAGTGGCAGAGCTGGAAAACAAGAGACAGGAGAGTCAATTCTGAAAGGAATTTTGCACAACACATACTGCAGATTCCCTTTAATGACTTAGCTACTTTACAGGCTCTTTAAGAAGGGAAAGACCTGTGAACCTCCCTTCCAAACTTAAGGCTGAACAACTGTATATACTGATAACATTGTTCCATCCACAATTGCATACATGAAAAACATTTCCTTTATTATGAAATGCATGTATCAGGTAACTTTAAAGAAAGGTACATTATACAGTAAGTTGCACTCATCTCTGCATGAGCACTGATTCTGAACCTGCAAGTTACTTGGAGATAGCCATCAAAAGACTTAATTAGTTTAAGAACTTTAATAAACTCAGCATTATGTTATTCATTATAACATGTCACGCTATATCAACTTCCCAAATATAAAATTGCCTATACATCTATGTTCCCTATATCTACATACATACAGGGAAAACTGGCACAAAAATACCTGCAAGAGCACAGTCAGGGGTCTAGTGGAGGAGATCTTTTCATTCCTGCCTTAAATTTATTGCATCCAGAATGCTGATTCTATTTTAAATAGACTGAAACTTTTTTTTGGAGCTTGCTGAAGCACCCTCTGAATTATAACACTGCTCAAAATCTGTCTTAATTTATTACCTATATTCTGTATATCTCTCAGATTAGAATGACTTGTATTTTATATACCGTTCTCTTTTCCATGAAGCTACTAAGAAAGTCATCTATTTCTGTTTTGCCTTCCAAGAAGTCTTCTGCAATAGTGTCAGATTCCTCTTCAGCTTCATGAGCAGCTACTTTAAGTCTGGCTTGCAGAGCGCTTGGACTGCAACTCTAAGAAAATAAAAACTTCTATTAATACTGCACTGCCCATCTAAATCCACATTTCCAAGTAGAAAAAAAGATAGATGGCTATATAAATATGGGATATGTGAATAATACAGAATCACAGAATCATAAAGGCTAGAAAGGACTTCTAGCTATCTTGTATCCCAACCCCCCTGCAAAACAGACTCTCTAGACCAGGTTGCACAGGTAGGCATCCAGGCTGGATCTTGATCGCCTCCAGAGAAGGAGACTCCACAACCTCTCTGGGCAGCCTGTTCCAGTGCTCCATCACCCTTACCATGAAGAAGTTCTTACACATATTTGTGTGGAACTTCCTATGCTTCAATTTGTGACCATTTCTCCTTGTCCTATCACTGCACGATGCTGAAAGAGTTTGGTCTTGTCCCTTTGCTCCCACAACTAAAGACATGGATCAGATCCCCTCTCAGTCTCCTTTTCTCAAGGCTGAGCAGACTCAGTCTTTCCTCATAAGAGAGATGCTCCAGGTCCTTTATCATCTTTGTGGCCATATGTTTTACTACAAGAAGGTCTAAGTGACCAAATGAATCTCTAAGAAACAGCACCGTGTGGAATTCAATGCCAGAAGCCAGTTCAACAGCAAATGTAACACGATGCACAAAGTAAGCATACACAGTGAACCACAGAATTTAAGTTTCTACAGCAATAGTTTTAATCATTTCAATCAGGTATGGCTTTATAAGTTTGCTATGTTAAATGGGTACAATTAATTAAACGCTTCCTTATAAGTAATTTTACTCTTAAAACTCCATGCCACAGTACTTAAGAGCAGCTCTAAAGGCTCATCATACGCCCTTCCAACTTTGTTTCTACAGTACTGTAAGAAAAACAGCAGTGCAATTTTAACACTATTCTACTCTCAAACTGGTCAGAACTTCATACCACTTTATTTCATCTTTAATGTGAATCTTGCTATTTCACATAAAATTACAATCTAATCAGAATATTCTGTTTGGATAAAGATACAAATCAAAACTTAAGTTTAGTGAAGCAATCTTAAGATAAAGAGATTATACCTCACTAAGTTCATGCTGTCTTTGCATCTTTTTTTCAAAGGCTGCTTTCATCTGTGCAAGTTGCTCATACTGAAAGAAAGAAGAAGGAATGTTTTCCCCCTGAAAAAGCAAAATAGTACAACTAACTTCTGAAAAAAATTTTACTGTTCACTTACTTTATCCAACACTGTCTGTCTTTTTGCCTCTAGACTGGGCTCCAGCAACAAATTTTTTTCTGTAAAATAAAGTTGCTATTATTATTATTATTATTATTTTAAAGGATTCATTTCTTAGAATGCAGCCACAAATACTATTTTTTTTGACATCTTACTTGCCAGCTCTTCAATGCTTTTCACTAACTCATCTCTGTCAGTAATGACTTGCTTCAGTTGTGGTAGATTCACAAACTGTTCGAGTAACACTTCCTCTTTTTCATTCATATTGGTCAGCTCTGATATACTACATTCAAACAGAAAGAAAACATATCTGAAGTTAAAAAAATAAGCATTACATGAAGAGTCTTTCATTTCTGTCAGAAGACAGAAGTTTGAGGAATTCACTGGGAACTTTACAGCTTTTTACCCTTTTCTCCTGGATTGCGAGCTCTATTATGCAGCAGAGTGCTTAAAAACGTCTGTATTAAGATGTATCCCACATTTCAAGCCTTACTTCAAAGCAGTTTTAATGCTACTGTGGTGGATTGATCTTGGCTGCACTGGCACCTGGCAGCCAACTGCCCCTCACTGTGTTCCTTAGTAGAATGTGGAGAAAAAATAAGATGGAAAAGTGCATGGCTTGAGACAGATACAGGGAGACTACCTAATGATTTCTGTCACAGGCCAAACACACTCAACATGGAAAAAATATTTTAGTCTAATGCCAACTGAGTAAGGCGCTGAGAAACAAAAATAAAAATTTGCTCCTAGGCTCAATTTCACTCTTTTATTCCCAACACACCCCATTACCGCAAGGGAAAAGTGGGTTGCAGTCAGTCCTTAACACTATGCTCTGCAACTCCCTCCTCAACTCAGAAGTAAATGCTCTTTTTTCTGGTGTTGAATCCTGAAGTATTGTTCCCATTCGGAAAACCTTAAAATAGAAGCCCATCTGAACACAAGGCTGGCTCACTTTCTTACTGTACAATTTTGGTAACTGGTTGTTGTCCCATTTATCATTACTACAAAGACATTTCTGTGATATATGCAGAATTATGACCAAAATCACACACAGCAGTAATTGCCTTATAATGACTATGGAAAAATTATTTACCTCAGTTCCAAAAGTTCTGGAAAGGTATCAGGAACATCAGGCATCTTGTAAGTAAATCCGTTCTGGCCAACCTAAATGAAAGTTAAGAAATGATTAGCAGATTTTTGAAGAGTGATTTGTTAGTAGATAACCTGATTAACCCAAAAATGGAGGTGAATGTTCACCAGCAACTAGTAAAACAGGAAAAGTAATAAGCAACTGTAATGCTGTCTCCAAACAGAAAAAGTCTCAACTCAATCATCACAACAAAACACAAAGGAACGTCTGAGGTGGCACGTCAAAAAAAAGTCAATTTTGGAGGGGAAAAAAAACCACTGCATTTTGCTAAGTCATTAATTTCATAAGAGTCAAATGACCGAGGAAACACGCAAGAGGAGTATAGCTCGGGGAACTGAAAACAGAGAAAAGAAATTGACATTCTGATTTCCTGCACGTGCCCCCTCCTACCCCTCATAAAAAGTTTACAGAGGAAGTGAAAAAAAAAAGAGGTAGAAATTTTAATTTCTACAAAACTGGAACTATGGCTTCCAAGATGAGAGAAGCTTTTGCTTCTAAAGACAGAGTTTTATTATTGCGATGAGTAGAAGACTAAACATCTGGCTATGAAATTCCTTTCTGGAAGGCACTCAAAAAAAATTCCTCCAGATAGCAGGAGTTTGAGGAATGTGCAAGTTTACATATTCAGATCCATGAACATATTCAGATCCATGAATAGACGCTATTTGAAGCAGAAAAATGTGAAACTCTTCATGTTCTACACATGAAGGCAGGAAATCCTGTATAGAAAAGCACCTCATTTTTTGTATTTAGATTAACAGTCACAGCTGCTGGGGAGAGCGCAGCTCAAAAACTATATTAGCATAATTCCAGGTCACTGAAACTCAAAAAGAAACATGCTTGGCTTCAAGTTTGTTCTAAAAAACCTTCGTCACAACCAGAATTGCAGTTTCATTTGCCAAGCACCAGCAAAACAATTCTTTGAGTTTTATTCTATGCCATGTGTGCCTTTCAGTGGATTTGCACCCAGTGTCTGATGGCTTAAGCAGTAAATCTCAACACACAGACCTGAAGCACTATTTCTGCTGTTGGAACAGGTAGTGGCAGATCAGCAATCAAGCCATAAGAGGGAGCAGCAGGCTTTTCTGTAGTGTAGCTTGAAGAAACTGATTCAGAAGCAGGCACGGGTGCCATTGTTCTATTTGTTTCTTGAGGCGGGTATGGAGGAAGAAATGGAAACCCCTGAGGAGCGTATGGAGGCATTCCAGCTGGTTTGCTGTAAAGGCTAAAACCAACAAAAACCATGGCCATCAGCAACTAGCTGCTTAGAACACTTTTCTTACCATTGGTATTATAATTGCCAGACCACAGACAAGACTCACCATTGAATTTTCAAGACCATAAACTTGGCATTTTCTGCTCATATTTACTTCTAACATAAAAAAGACATAGTTATGTAACAAACATACAACTTTATTGAGCTATTTACTTGTAGAGCAGAAAAAAAAAACAACACATGCACTCTTAATTCTAATAAAACAACTTCTCAAACACTTCTTAAAACATAAATTTAAATTATATGCATCTTAAAATCCTGAGAAATGCATGTGTCATTCGTCAGTTCTTCTTTACAACGTAGAATTTAACAGCTTTGACAACACATTTGTAACTACTTTCCAATAACATTAGTTTTTTTTAATTCAGAGCTGCAGCTTCATCTAATCCAAATATCACTGTCAGCCATAAAAAGCACTGTTGTACAGACAAGGCTGTAATGTCTCAGGCTCTGCATATTTAGTGTGATTATTTAAAGCTGTACAGTTACACATGCACAATGGAAAACAACCTCCAAGCCTGGAACATTATGAAAAATACAAAGAAACAACACTCAGATGATGATATAAAGCAAATTCAAGATTTTATCTATTGTAAATATTTGTGCATTTTCAAGAAAAGAGAAGCACATAAAGTTGCATGAGCATATAAATCCAATGAAGTCTACCGTTTCTTTTCAAAATACTTTATGTTGTCAAGCACACACATCAGTTTGTGTAGATGCAGCAGATATATCTCCCCCAGTAAATTTACCACAATATTCCCGCCCTCCTAATATTTGGTTTCATCTTTTTTAAACTAACTTACTTATACACGATTACATATCAGCATCATTATAGACACTTACTATGGAAATGATGTTGAACTAGGAGCCAGAACTGGTGGATTTTTCCAAAACTCATCCAGTAAACTTTGAATAATTTTTCCAAGATCCGAGTGCATTGTAAACTAGTATTAAAGAAAAAATAATTACTAAAGCTAGATACAGAAGAAAAATTATTCCTGTATTTTAGCAGTTAAAAAATATGAACATTTACTATGTCCACGTGGCAGTTCTGAAAACCATTTCAGAAATGTGTTGTCTATTGTAAATTGCTTACGCACAACCTCCAAATGCTTTAAGTAGCAAAGCCATTCAGAACAGAAACAGAAACTAAAAGTTGAAAGACTTTTTTGCGTATTCCATTGTCAATAGAGAATCAATCAAGTACAAAATTTTTGATGAATAACAAAAACTTAATTAACAAGCTATAGTTAAAAAAACCCACAAGATTTACATAAGAGATCAAATGCATAATTAGTTGCATCATTCAGGAAACGTCACTCTAAATAAACAAACAAAACTGGACTCCTCCCCCAACAACATCGTTGTTGGTGGAGAGGAAAAAAGAAAAACCAAAAAAAGAACAGCATATGAAAAACCTGCTTATTAGAGCAAAACTTTGATATTCTTCTAACAGGATTAGGATTGAAAAAAGTAGATAGCAGAATAGTCTAAAAACATCTTTCTTACTAATTTGTGATTCAATATAGAAAAACATGAACCATGCTATCGGCACTAATGAGAAGAGACAGGAACTTTCTAAGCTATCTAAATTTTAACTGTGGAATACTCAACTCATTAATAACAGTAAGAAGAGAATGAACAACAGTATACTGAACAATACTGAATCTCTGTTTTCAAACCAAAAACATTTGAGAAGGATTAGGATCAGCATTAGTCTTTTTAAAAAAAAACAAACCAACAGAAGTACTGTCAATAATCTACCACGATGTACAAGAATTGATATTAATATATGTGGAAATATAAACTATACATACATTGTTTATTAATGGACCAGTCACATATACTCCCTGCTTGTCCATTAGATGATGTCTCACGGGTGGGAAAACACTGATGACTGGTTTTTCCTGAGGAAACTGAGGTGGAAGCAAGCTGTAAATACAAGAATAATTGTTACTACACCCCATGAAGTATGCTTTAAGAAGACTTCTTATGCAAAGAAAAAGCAGAGCAATTCACATAACCACACTCTTCTATGAAAACTGTTACGGAGATACACCATGAAGTACATGAGAAGATTATTTAGTTCTGCATCATGGACAGAGCTAGTTTCAGTCAGATTACCAAGACAACTAAGGCAAACTGGAGCAATAGTTTACAATTAGTTATGAGATGGACCTACTTATGTTCCATTACTACTTCTGATGAAAAAATTGTAATTTTTAAATACATGCATTTAGAGATATCCCACCTTACTTACATGTTAATATTAATTGTCAAGTTGTTTACAGTGAATGGCAGTCGATATTCCACATCTTTCTGAATTTCTGCAATGCTGTCAAAAAAGAAATTTTTAGTATCCAATTGATGTTCAGTATGACAGCCTTGGTACCTGTGCTCTAAAAACAGGCAAAACCTCAGACATTTTCTATTTAGTTTGAAAGCCTTTTAAGAATAAAACTGAAAACACTGGAATAAGTTAATATGCTTCAGAATACTATAATGAAACAATGAAAATTAAGAAATGAAAAAACTTCAAACCTCAGCATTATCAGAAACAGTACTAATACAGGCAGAGCAATGGCGATCTGTCAACACTCCCAATTTATTTTACATCCTGTGCACAACAAGGTAATGCCACCTTGCCTACAAATCAGTGTATAAAGCACAAATAACACTGGATGCTTTCTTAATACGATAATAAATTATTTAATAGGTATATTTGTCTGCATACACCAAGTTCTGTGCACTTACACTGATATTTTCAAGAACTTTTACCTGAAGAAAAGCTACTTGCCAAAAATTGAAGGCCCTAATCCAGGGATAATCAAGAGACAGACTCCCTGAAACCATCAAGTGAAGAAACTTCTCACAAAAACTTATGAAACTGAATTCAAATGTTCTCCTTCTGAGAAAAATCTTTGAAATCAGCTGTGTTAGTAGAAAGGTGATTTCAACATTCAAAACACTCTGTGGTTTTATGCATAGCAAGAGTGTTTTGAAAAGGTGGCATCCCAAAGAATGTAGAGAAGGAGATTTTGCTTGGATGCATAATTACCTGACAACATAAACACACCTAGGCTGAGATCTTGCTTTAAAGAAAGGGCAGAAAATCAGCCTCATCTTATAAGCCCTTAGTCAAAACAAAGCTTTCAAGCAGACCAGTTCCTCTGCCACATGTTTCCTGCCTTCAAATGGTTACTAATACACTCTTCTGCCATAAGTTCCCATGTAAGCCGAGGGAACACAGCTGGGATTGGTGATAATGACAGCTGGGTGCTCCTTAAAAGCTTCTTTACACCCAATTTCAGAAACACCCCTACATTCTCTACCAGATACTCTCTGTACAATTACTTCTCCCCCCTCTCTCCCAAAAAAACCCAACCACCATTATCTGCAAATCTATGTTATTACAGTGTTAGGCATGTTTCCTATCTATTCAAAGCATCATTTGCACATGTAATTCACAACTCCAGCTTTCAGAGCTTCAGTAATAGAGTAAGTTACAAATCCAGCTACACACCACATGTCCCCCAGCCTGACTTTACCCCTCTCCCAAGAAACTCTGTATCCACTCTCTCTCTGTGATAACTCGTGCTTTCTGAGGAAACTATCAGACATCAGCAGCAAACAAACAGGAGTTGAAGATTCTCCTCTGGTACACCATGCACAGGAATCACCATTCTTCCTTCTTAACTAAGGAGTCTCACTGTAATTTCTCACACATTCCTATCCTTAAGACACTGGTAGGTCAGCATCTTAACAACTAGACACAAGATTGTTTCGAGACAGGTATATAAACGTGCTCCCCTCACTTGCACAGCCTATAGGAAATGGGGAAGGAGAGGAGAAGTGGAAGACAAACAAAAAACAAATGATCTCATTGAGCTGAAACCTTCTTCAAACAAACTCTTCAACCAATAAACTGAATCATCTCTTTCCCAAGTGGAAATGGGTGCACATGAAAAACTACACATTCTTAATTTTGGCTAACACAGCAAATACAAGAAAACTGTTTTGTTTGTTCTTTTTTTTTTTTTTTTAATAACAATAACTTTAGGTGAGCTTCTCTGTACTCCAACAAAAAGGGCAGGAATATAGGGCTCAGTAAGGCTGGCCCAACAAAAAACATCTAGTTCAGTAAGGTGCTGCATACCCTGAGAGAAAACTTCTTAGAGTGAGCCACTTTTCCAAAATATTTGTGAAACTGGCTCTGAACACACTTAAGTTCAAGCAAACAACAGCAATAAGCAATATTTTCATACTTGTGCTTCCTGTGTGCTCACAGTAGGAGCTGTCTGCACCTAGTAAGCGCAACCACAACCAGTTGCTCTTTCACTCTTGGTGTCAGCTGAACACAACACAAAACATTCTCTTTCTTCCTCACAGGCTGTTTTTGGAGATCGCAACCATTTCAGTGGGACTGGCTTCCTCAGAAGCTCAGTGACTGCTTACTTGCTCACTGAAAACATAACCGAAGAGATAAGAAGTGTGGATATCTTTGTAAAAGGAGACGAGCACAGTTAGCAGATTAAGAACATGTGAAACTGATTAGCAGTTCTGCCATCAGAAATCTCTCAGAATGAAGAAAAGTCTATTGCTGTAAAATTGTAGCTGCTGAACAGGAGAAATCCCTGCCTACATCTGCGGTGAGCATCCAGGGAAAGCAAGCCTCTCGTACAGCCCGTTCTCAACGAAGAAAAGCTGTGCCTCAGCAGGGCCAGCAGGGCTGCCGTGCTGCTGCTGCTCGAGTGACAGAACCTTTACACCGGATGTTTTATCCTTCGCTTTCAACAAACACGCTCTTCTAACCCGTTCCAGGAAGCTCCCCCCGCCTCCCGGCCGCGTCCCGCAGAGGCGCTCCGCTCTCCCGCCCCGGGCAGGCCGAGGGCCGGCAGGACCCGTCAGGGCTTCACACGGACGGGTCCGATCTCGGCCCGATCGCGGCCCGGGGCCGGCGGGAGGACCCTCCGGGGCGAGGTCACGCCCAGGCCCAGATGGGGCGCCCGACCCGGCCGCGGCCACTCACGAGGCGTGCGCACCGCGCAGGGACTCGATCTGCCGCTGCTTCTGCTGCTGGAGGCTGGTGAGGGCGGGCAGCGGCGAGGCGGATGAGGAGGCGCCGCCGCCCTTACCGAGAGGAAACAGCCAGTTCATGGCCGCGCCGCGGCCCGACGGGCGGCCGGACACCGGCGGAACCTCGGCAGGGCCTCCTCGCGCGCACGCGCGCCTCGCCACCGCCTCCCCTCGCCCTACTTCCGCGGCCGCGCGCCAGTCGCGTCATCGCCGCGCGCCGCTCCGTCAGAGAGGGAGGGCGGGGCGAGGAGGGAGCGGGGCGGAGCCGGCGGCGATTGGCGGCCCTGCGAGCGGCGGCGCGGGAGGGCGGTGGCGCGGCGGGTGAGGTGAGGGGGGAAAGGTCGCGAGGCGGCGCGCGGCGATGATGTAATGGCTTTGTGCGGCGGGCGCTGCGCTCTCTGCGTGTTGCGCGCCCACTCGCGGCTCCGGGGCGGCGGGGGCCGCGGGGGCCTCGCAGGACCTGGCCCGGCCCCCCCGCGGCCCAGCGTGTGAGTGAGGGGCGGGCGGGAGCGGCGGGGGGCCGGGCCCCGCGGTTCTCTTCTGGAGCCGCGCCCCGCTAGGCCTCGGCCCGCGGAAGCTGTGGGGCTGCGGCCCTGAGGCGGCCCGGCGGCGGCGGAGGCGCTGAGGAGCCCGCGCGGCCTTCTGGGGGTGCGCCGGCCCCGAGGGGGCTGGGGAGCGGCCGGGCGGGCGCGGAGGGCGTCGCGGCGTTCTGTTGCGGGGAAAGGGCTTGGAGGTTGCTCGGGGTGCGTGGGAGGCCTCGGTTCTCGGGGGGCGCTTCTGGGAGAGCGGCGGGGCCGCGTCCGTGCGCGTCCCGCGGAGCCTGGTACCGCGCTCGGGGGGAGGCGGGCTCGCTTCGTGCCCCCGGGATCGAAAAGCGTCGTCTCTGCTCGGTGCGGCGCCCCGACCGGCCGCCCGTTGGGACTCGGCGGCTCTTCGAACGCGGCGGAACGCTGGGAGGCGCTTTGCCGCTTTGCTTCGTGCCACACGCAGCCGTGAAGCCCGAAGGAGCGCGTTCCTCTGACCCGCTTGTGGGCCCGGGTGTCCTTTTGATCCGCTGTACTAGAAAGGCTTGCCAGCGGACCTGGCTTTTTGAACCAAGTACAGTTACCAGCGGAACTCTGAGGGTTTTATTTTGGGGTGAGAAACTCACATAACTGAAACGCACGTGGTTCTGGTGCCTCTGCTTTGAAGGGTGAAGCTTGCACCTGCTGTTAAAGCATCTTTTCCCAATAACTGACAAATGAAAACTTAATGCTTTATTTGTCTCTTAGGTAAAAAAGAAAAGTAAGGTTCTCTTTATGAAACTGATCCTCGGTCAAGTGTAACTTTTGATGTATGGTCTCTAAAGCCCCCCACTATGCCAGCAGCTACCGTAGACCATAGCCAAAGAATCTGTGAGGTCTGGGCTTGTAACTTGGATGAAGAGATGAAGAAAATTCGTCAAGTTATACGGAAGTATAACTATGTAGCTATGGTAAGTAAACGTGTGATGTTTATCTGAAAAGTTCTTGTAAAAAAATAAAAAAATAAAAAAAAAAAGCGTGAGGATCGTTTTTGATGTTAGTGAACTTGATGCTAGTAAAATTATTTTTCCACTTTTATTGAGAAAAAAAGTGGGTTCTTAATGCATAAACGATACCACCATCTGTTATTGTGTTTAAAGCTGTGTTTGCACACAACATTCTTCAGCTATGGAAATTTTTGATGCTTGAAATGTTTTATTAAAAACAGGAAGTGTGAAGTTTTATGGGTGTCTCCTACTAAAGCTATGCTTTTTTCTTTATAGGATACAGAATTTCCCGGAGTAGTTGCAAGGCCTATTGGAGAATTCAGAAGCAATGCAGACTATCAATACCAATTATTACGCTGCAATGTAGATTTGCTAAAAATAATTCAACTAGGACTGACGTTTATGAATGAGCAAGGGGAATACCCTCCAGGAACTTCAACTTGGCAATTTAATTTTAAATTTAACTTAACGTGAGTCTTACATCTCTATACTGTTGGATGTATGTTTCTGATTTAGTGAAAACTTAGGTTGTAAGAGTTATAACAGATATTTTTAATCTACTGAGTGGAATCCTTTATGTGAGGGGGACTTGTGTTAACTGAACGTATGTGCTTTATTCCTTTATTTCAGTGTAGTCTGTCTTGCAGAGATTTCGGTTCTGGATTCTTCTTGTTAATATGTTGTTAAAAAATGCAAGCTGTTTTTTTATGGTCTGTCAGAGCTGTGTTTTGGCCTCATTTCAGAATGTATTTTGTATTAGTGGTAAGCCCTTAAGTATGAATGTGACTTGCCCAGTGGGCTGAGATACCTAAATAAGGTTCTGATTACATCTGGCAGTACTTGACAAGGTTACTAAAGCAGTGGCCCCATCTTGACGTTTTCCGTAAGTAGATGTAATTGGTCTGACAGGTTCTCATACGGCCTGATAAAAGTATTAGAGCAAGCACTTATCAAATTCAAATTTGTTGAAGGGTTGGGGATTTTTGGCAATGTTTTGGGCTGATCATTGAAACACTTGATGTACATGAGTTAAAATTGCAGCCTACAAAGGAAGCCCAGAGAACAAGCCTTTTTCTTTTTTTTTTCCCCCAGATTACAAGACTTATTTTTAAAGTAATTATGATTCTTATGAAGGAAATCTGCTGCTGTTCCTCTTAATCTTTCTACTCTTCTAAACAAGCAATGCTTGTCGCAAATAAGTTTTGTCTGAGGACTGACACGCTCTTTTTAGACTTGTTTGAAGCATCTCTTGAAAGAAAAGGAAGTACAGATTTGATATTTCAGTATATCTAAACTTGGCTGTATGAGTGCTGCATGGAAGATATCTGTTAGAAGAACATGCTATAGATGCTGAGTGCAGTAGAAAGAGGAAGAGGGATGAATTAATAACTTTCAAACTGGGAAGAAGAGCCTGGGTTATGTTTTATTCATTTTCTAAGTTTCTAAGGTCTGCTAATATCAAGCAGCTGAAAACAAAAGTAGTTTTCCATTCATTTGTTTCAGATGCTGCATAGATAAGAAGGCTTAGTAAAGTAGTATCTAGGGTATCATTCAACTGACTTGTTCACTAGGGGTGGGGAGGAGATTTTATACAAAATGAAATAAGTGCTGCATAAAACGTGAACTTTTTGAATAAGGATACCAAAATGTGTGTGTATGTGTTCCTAAACTTCCTTTTTGGGAAGTGGCACTATTCCAAATGTTCTGCTTCTAAAGCAAAGCAACTGTTGACTTTTCCTAGAAGAAGGTTTGGGTTTTTGTTTTTTGTGTGTGTGTGTGTGTTATTCCAACTGTTTCCTGTCACTGTATATTTTTAAGGAGCATAATTGATTCTATAAACTAACTGTGCACCTGATTAGTACAGAGGAACAAACTAGAAATGAACTTTTATTTATTTTGAGCATGATAGGCATGTTTGTTTTGCATGGGTTCTTTAATGTGTTATGGAAATGGACAGGTGTTGGGAAGCTGATGCCTTAAAGCTGGAGAACTAATGAGCAGCTGTGTGGGAGAGAAGGAAAAAAAGATATAACATGTCCTGAGAATGTATTTCTCTCTTGATGAGTTATGACTTGCTATTAGGAATAAGAAATATAAGTCTGCAGCTGAACCTAGTAAGTGGTCCAGTTTGATCTGCTGGATCGTCATATCTGTTTTATTTCTTGAGGTTTCTTCCCCCATGAAAATGGAAAACTATATGGTGAAGAGACTTTGTAAAACAGTATGTTATAGAGAGTAATATGAATGATATCTAAGTAGAGCCAGCTTTACATTTTTTTCCATTAACTGTTCTATATATTCCAATGATTTTGAAAATTATACTTCAGATGATACTTTTAAAGTTTTATCCATTTCGTTACAAAATGCCGAAGAGCTCACAAAAATGAGGGTGGTAAATGGAACAAATGCAGAGATAAAAGGGATCAAGTAAGACATATTGGAATTTTTTTCCCTCCTAGTTAAACTGTAGGTTCAAAATCCGACTGTTAAAGAGAAGTTGATGATTTAGAACAAAACAGTAGACTGTCTGGATTTCAGGAGTTGGTTTAACGGGGCAAGTGCTGAATTTCTAATTGTAATGAGGGGTTTTGATGAGCATGTGTCTGAATATTCATGCAGGCTTAAATTACAGATAGCAAGAAGTGGATCGAAGGCACAGAACAAATACAGCACTGGAATTTGGATATTGATATTAATTCTGTAATATAGCAGATGTCAGTGCTCCAACTATTTTGTTACTGAACAGGATCTGTTACCTTAAACTGTAAGGTAACTGTATCCTTACAAGTACTTTCCTCTGTAGAGTCTGCAAAAAGGGAGTTCTGTGTAATGAGAAGAGGAACAGGAAGTAGATTTTTGTGAAGGAGACTGGAATGGACATGCTAGGAATCATGAACTGCTAATGAAAGTTAACAAAAGCTATGAAGAGTGGTCATTTTTATAATAAACGTGGAACAAATTCAAGTTGCTCCTATATTGCCAGTAATGTCTCTGTAATGAATAGGGGGGAAAAAGGTTACCAAATTTATAATCAGCGAGGTCTGTAGATTGTAAAAATGTTTTTCTCTTTCTTTTTAGAGAAGATATGTATGCACAGGACTCTATTGAACTGTTAACAACATCTGGTATCCAGTTTAAAAAGCATGAGGAAGAAGGAATTGAGACGCAGTACTTTGCAGAACTGCTTATGACATCAGGAGTTGTACTATGTGAAGGAGTCAAGTGGCTTTCATTTCACAGGTAAATTTTGCACGTTAAGTAATTGAGTTGTCTGTTTTGATAATTGGGTTTTATGTCTCATGTATTAAGCTGTGTACATCTGCTGGTGTATAGTATATGTCTTGATTGGTAAGACTTAAAAAACTATTTCAGCTATGTAGGGTATTGTTGTGTGTTAGAAAAGTAGAGTGTGTGGGATGGTAATGACATAGATGATGGCTTTTTAACAGCAAAACTTTGAGCAAGGAATGCATGCAACTAGACCAGCAGGTGGCATTGTCTTTAATATCACATGTGTACATAATAGTAGCAGTGGTTAAAAACAAGCTATTTGTAAGCAGTTTTTGAGCAAATGCGGTTTGTTTCATGGAAGATACCACAGAATTATTAGTAAAGATTTTTATGAAGTTATGAAGTTATACTTTTTGTAACTCTGCTAATATGGGCAGACAAAAATTCTTCAGCTTAGGAGAGGCCTGCTAGAAGTCTTAATTCTAGAAGCAGCAGTGAATATACTTTGCCATTCATTCCATCACAGGAACATGTTTTCCAAGTAGAAATAGAAATGAGAATCCCAAAATTCTGTGAGTCCCTCAAGATATGAGGACAGGCTGAGAGAGCTGGGGCTCTGGAGAAAAAAAAGCTCTGGGGGGGGATAGGAGGAGGGCAGGGCAGAACCTTATAGTAGTGGCCTTCCAGTACCTGAAGTGGGCTTACGGAAAAGCTGGAAAGGAGTTTTTCAGAAAGGCATGTAGTGACAGGACAAGGAGAAATGGTTTTAAACTGGAAGAGGGTAGATTTAGGCCAGATACTAGGAAGAAATTCTTCACTTTGAGGGTGGTGAGACACTGGAGCAGGTTGCTGAGTGGAGTTGTGGATGCCCCCTCCCTGGAAGGACTTGAGTTGGGCTGGATGGGGCTCTGAGAAACCTGGTCTAGATGGAGATGCTGATAGCAATGGGGTTGGAACTAGATGATCTTAAAGATCCTTCCAACTCAAATTGTTCTAAGATTCTGTGATATTCTTCTGTTAATATGACTTAAACCTTTAAAACTTGTGCATTAGTAATTGCACAGTCAGCTAAATGCCAGGGATAGCTTGCACTTTTTACAGACAATTGTGAGTTTAGAGGCCTATTGCTATGTAATGAGTGTAAGTTGACATCTTGAATTCTGTCTGCTAAGCAAGTCAACAAAAGTAGAATATTTTTTTTAGCTGAAAACTGGAGGTTTCTTTGTGGTTATATTCATGTTTATTACGTGTGCTACATTGTTGGGTGGCAATATGTTTGTTGTCCACACTAGGGGAGGGGGGAACAACACACCAAATTCCTTATCCTTAACTGTTAAGTATGAGAGGGGAGCTTGGAGAAAGACGGATGAAGTATTTAATTAGAAATATTTAAGTCATTAAGCAACTGAAAACTAAGGCTTGCTTTGGCAAGGAATATAAAATAGAAAACAAGATATTGTACAATTACTTTCCTTGTTATGTACGCTTTCCTTGGTGGAAAGAAAAATGAAGAATGAAACTATACAGATGTTCTGTCTGAATACAAACTTAAATGAAGATGCTTTCTCTTAATAGGGGCTTAGAAAAGCATGCTGTTATGCGTCTTGACACCTAGCAAAGCTGTGGTGCTCTGCATGTGACTTAATGGCCTTACACTAAGATTCTGTAAAGTTCGAAAGATTTCTATAAATAGTTATATTTATATAAAAAAAAAAAAGTATTTAGCATAGGGCTGTTAAAAACTCAAATCTGATTGTCTGAAATAATTAAACAATATTGCTTAGTAGAAACGCTTCTTCAGTTAGAATGTCTTTCAAAAAAAAATCATCTCTAAGTATGCTTGTTGTCTGGTCTGCTTACAGTGTCTTCTATTCAGGGCTGTATCCGCCATTAACTGTTTCAAAATAACCACAGATGCTAAATGGATATTGAATTAAGTTTCTTTCTGCATCTTAAACCCATTATTATGTGCAAATTTGTAATTGATAACAACAGAGTAACTTGGATAGTTCAGGAGAAGAACTGAGGTATGTGTTGGCCTGCAACCTGTGTATCAAAAGGCATTGCCACATAGAAGCAACTACAGCTACAAAGTTTTCCTAGTGTTAACTTTAAGGATGCAATGTAACCTGTACTAGCAAAGGAGTACAAAAGCCACTTGTGCACTAGATATTCTTCTAAAAATGTTGCTTTTTTGATTGTGATTGATGACTAACACTGTGCTGATGGTAGTATAAACTGCAGTAATGGGGTGTTTAGCAGTTTGCCTCGCGTTTTTGGGATAGTTTAAATAATGTTCATTTTTAAATGAACATTATTTAAACTAATAAGTGTATCTCTTGTGGACTTCACTGAAAATGTCTTTAGAAATCTTCTTCAGACATCCTCTTAATTCCCAAACGCTGAATGTCCACAAGTTTGCTGAAAGTATTTGAAGGCTTTTGCATTTGACAGAGCATATTGATGTTAAGCAGAAAACCTTGAAGTAATGGGTGGAATTCTGAGGATGGTAAGGTTTCGCTCAACTATGAAATGAATGTGGGTCACAAAACATGCTGCAAAGAATAATGAGCAGTTGTATCTTTGATTATGTTCTATTAGTGTAAACTTTAAACAGCATGACAGCTCAGCTGAAGCTTTGTTTCATGTAGATTCTCTATGCATTAATTCTTAGAATAGTGGAAAGTTTGTACTTGGTAGTTGCTGACTATGTTGTTGCTTCTGGTTTTTCAAAATGCTTTGATTATTGCTAATGCCCAACATTTTTAAGTCTCTTAGCGCAGTGACATAGGAGGCAATACTTTTTTCTTAGAGTGAGAGGTTACCTGTTTTGGTTTTATTTTCCATTCTTCAATTTTCTGGAACTCTTATGTAATTTTTTTTTTTTCTAAGATAGTTGCTTCTGAAATAGCTTTCTCTGCATGTTTTCTATGTGTATTTGATTTGCATTTGTCTTGGCATCCTGACCTACTGGCAAATTTGTGTGGATCTGCAGTTTTGTTAGACATGACTGAAGAAAGTTTTTCTCTATCAACAATTTTCACATACAATAGCTTCATGAGACTACATTAAATGTTTAGTGTATTAAAATTTATTTGAGTTGATGAGAGAAAAAGGGAAGGCCCTGAATTTATAATTCTTGTCACAGTCAAGAGAGTTGTGGGTATTTAGCAATTCTAGCCAGTTGTAAAACAACAGCTCACATTCTGTTTTTGGGTGCTTGGCTTGCTGATACAGTGAAGCCTATGTGCAGTCTTCTTGATATTCCTTGGGAGGTACTGTGGATATGTCTCTTAGGCTTAAATGTTTTTTGAGAAGCTGGGAAGTTCCTAGCCATTGCATTTCATTAATAATTTATGTCTAACTGCTTTTAGTAAAACTTAGAACCTGTTGGCTCACTTCTGTATGAATATAGGTAGTCATATGATGGAGTAAAGCTTTTTCAGCACTATTGGGTATTATTTATTTCAGAGCCTGCTGGTGTGTGGGTAAAGTTCATTGTTAATTGTTGATCTGATTTCTTTTTTCTTTTTTTTTTCTGGGTAATGAGTGAAAGAAACATAGTCACATTTGATCTTCTCTTTATAGTCTTGTTGCCTACAGCTGTCCATGTTGATTAAAAAAGTGGTTGTAAGAGTGCTTATGGTGCTGTATAGCTCCAGGGATTGCGGCTAGCTGCACTTACCAACTTTAAGTGATTGTATTAGAAACAGTGAAAGCTTTTTTAAGAAAGGAAGCTTCCCTGCTCCAAGATATAAACCAACCACTAATTGCCTGTTAGAGTATTAGAAGAAAACTTCACTAATGAGCAGGTAATTGCATAATTGCTCACCGTGAGCTTTCTTACCCTTTTGTTAGTCAGCAGTGGCCACTTGAAACTGTTTGGACTAAATATATCTTAGCCTTGAATTAGAATGGTAGTTCTTATGTCGTTGTACGTATGGATGACTGGGGCATATCAAACCCCAGAAGTATACTACCAAAATTATGAATGCCTTGGTACTGCATTGTGATCAGTAATGTGTGGTTTTCTGATTATTGTTATGAGTACAACAGGAGTAAGTGTAAGCACTTGGAACTTTCAGAAATGTAAGAGAGAACTTGGTTGAGCTGACTAAAACTAGCTTGTGCTCAGGATCCATGAAAAGATATCTAACGAGTGCTGCCATGTAATGGAAGGGCAATTCAGTTAAATAAATTCACTGTTCACTTATGTTCAATTTTCTGTGGATTCTGAGGATTCCCAAATGAATGTATCTACAACAGTTTCTGGAGAAAAAAAATCCTTATTGTAATTGCAAAGTTGTTATTAATTGCTCTTTCTCAATACAAATACCAAATGAATCCTCTGTTCTTATAGTATTTCCTTCTTATAGAAATTGGAAATGTTTAGTAGTCCAATAATATAATTTATTTTATAAAAGGGTGAGTATTCTTTTTTCTCTGGAAAATTTTTGATACCATTGTTATATTTGAGTCACAAAAAAACAGATATCAGGAACTCACTGAGTTTGTAAATAAACTCTGTAGTCTCTAGAGGATTAAGAGTCTACTTAATCCTGAGCAGTTTTGTTAGTTTTTTCACTGATGGGGTGCTTTTTTTTTTTTTTCTGCTTTGTTCCATGGAAGACTACCCTTCTGTCGTAGGTGATCTAATAAAATAAAGCTTCCAAGCTTTTGTTTTGATAGTATGCAACAGGTTTTTACGTCCTAAGAGTGCACTGAAAACCTTTTATCTTTGGCTTCTTTGCTCCCTGGCTGATAGCTGCTGCTGTGGAGCTTGGTCTGCTGCCAGCACAGCTTCAAAGCAGCAGTTGCAGCACAGGATTCATTCAGCTTGAAATTCCTGTTTAGCATACTGGAAACTCCCTTGGGAGAGCTGCACTAGTCTATACCATCTGCATATCTTGTATTAATGGACTTCTAGTAAACAATACATTCACTCCCTGTGTGTTCAAGACTTTCTGCTCTCTGCTAGAAATTTGCAAGATCAAGGTGATGTAGATATCTTAGTCATATACAAAAGGTACAAAAAGCAAACCTTTTTACAAGTATGTAAGCTAAAGCTTTAAGCCTTCATCAGCAATCACCAGTCTAAGTGGGTGTAGTACAGTACAGGATCAGTGTGTTCAATGTGTACAGTACAGTGCTCTTATCTGATTTGTGTATTGAATGATAGAATCACTAAGATTGGAAAAGATCTCTAAGATCATCTAGTCCAAATGTCCATCTACCACCAATATCCAACCAAAACCTCCTCTCATCCTATCACTAGTTACCTGGGAGAAGAAGCTGACCCCCCTATAGCTGTGACTTCTTTTCAGGTAGTTGTAGAGGGTAACTATTATAATTAATTGTCATGTATCGCTCACCTCACAGCCAGTGCTGAAAGACCCCAGTCAAGAATTTGGACCACGTTGCAGAGTTCTTTTAGGGTATGATGGTCGTGCAACCAAGAATGAACGTAATGGAAACTGGGAATTCACTTCTGGGTGCCACTCATTCACTTGAATTAGATTGTGAATGTGCTGCGAATGCTCCTTAAACAGCATAAGCTGACACAGCCTTCAGTTGAGCAGTCCTGCTGGTACAGTCATTTTTAAAGTTGCATACCAGCTGCTGTGGTTTAACTCAGTAGGCAGCTCAGCACCGCACACAGCCTTTCACTTGTTTCCTCCCCCCCTCGATGGGATGAGGGACAGAATTGCAGGAAAAAGAAAAACAATGAAACACCAACAAAGAGCATGTGGGTTGAGATGAAAACTGTTGTCTGAGACGGAGAGGGAAGAGAGAAGTAACATAAATCTTAGTTATATGCATACATGCACACAAGACAAGTGATGCACGATGCAGTTATTCACTGCCCGCTGATAAATACCTAGCCAGTCCCCAGGCAGCAGCTGCCCCCTGACCAACTCCCCTCAATTTAATGGTTTTCACATGATGTCATATGGTATGGAGAATCCCTTTGGCTAGTTTAGGTCAGCTGTCCCTGGTTCTGTCCCCTCCCAGCTCCTTGCGTCCCCTCAGTCCTTCTTGCTGGCAGAAGCGTGCAAGAAGCTGAGAAACTGAAATATCCTTGATGCTGTTGGAAATATCCAAATAATTTTGTTATGATGGTATCTCTGATAGAAGCAGATTTTAGTCGCGATTGCAATGGGTGGGTGTCCCGCAAGCAGGAGCACACCTATGGATGCAATAGTAGAGCTTTTGTACCTTGTCTCCTGCATGCCCACTCCCTCCCCTGTTTTCCTATTGGCTGGGTACTCCAGGTTCACAATCTTACCAAAGATTTACATTTGTTAATTACATTCTGACACTTGTTGATTCATGTGCTACCTTGTGCCAGTCAGTTGCCATCCTCCTGCTTCCAGGGTGTCTCATTGAGCGTGCATGCCTGGGGAAGATTCATCTAGAGGATAAGTGTTGTATCAGAGACCCCCTGAAAAGAACTATGGCAGTGGAGACCATTAAATAAAAATTCTTATCTTGTTCTAATCGGAAACAATGTTTGATTCCCACAGCACTGCTCACCAACAACTAAAACATCTGTGTGTAATCAATGTGGCTTTTCTCCTAAAGTGACAACAGAGCATCATACCAGATGCTATGAAGAAAATCAACTCTGTCCCACCTGAACCCAGGACACCAACAAAGTCTAGGAACCTATTTAATTCAGTGCTAACCTAATAACATGGAAGATAATGCGTCAGTCTCCTGTCTGGTTTAGTGCATAATACTGCAATCCTGCAAGTACAAGGGATTAGGAAGGATCAGATTTACGATCAGATCATGAATAATCTGGTTTATTACCTCCGTCTTTCTAAGAAAAAGGATAAGTAGTTATCAGTCCTGCTTACTGTGTACTTTAAACCCTCTGTTTCATCTTATAACCCTTTGTAAAAGTAGTCTATTTCATGCTTTGTTTTTACTACCACACCCCCTTCCTATGTCCTCTTTCTTCCGTAAAGGATTATGGAGAGAAGAAAGTCTTCCCAAGCTCTTCTCCACCATGCATACTCTAAGACCTCAGTTTTTCCTACCTAGCCTTGTATGTACATAACAAATATTTCCAACTTGTTCTGTCATTGCCTTCCCAATGAGTCATAGTCTACAAGCTACTGAAAGTTGTTAGCTGTCTAACTTTGTGCTGATTTAATTGGGAAAGCTGAATGGCTGCCTGCTCTTCTTCACTGCTGAGGATTAAACTTACCTCCAGGCGTAAAAATGTGTGGACTCATGTGAAAGCTTGTCCTTCCTTTGGATTTCTAAGTAGAAGCCTTTTCCTCTCTTTCAGTCCAAGGAACCAGCTAGGAGTCTTTAAGTTCTTGTTATCAGATCTTCTAATTGGATCTGCAAGCAGATCATGTTTTGCTTCATGTGGTCACTTGAGAATAAATTGTTTTCTCTGGAAGCTGCAGTTGGGGCCACTTACAGTAATTCTTACTCTGTTGTAAGAGTCAAAGTTGCATTTAACTAGGCAAAATACCTTCCTCTTAATGTTTAATAGTGTTGATGTTGAAAGTGAAGAATGTTTCTAAGTTATTTGACTGTATTGTCAATTTTTGTTATATTTGTTAATTTGCAGTGGATATGACTTTGGTTATCTAATAAAAATCCTGACCAACTCTAATTTACCGGAAGAAGAGCTGGACTTCTTTGAGATACTGCGATTGTTTTTCCCTGTCATCTATGATGTAAAGTATCTCATGAAGAGTTGCAAAAATCTGAAGGTAAGTAATCTGTTAATGATTCAGTTCAGGCATTTTTTGGGGGGGAAGGGGAGAAAATACTTTCTGCTGAGAGCTTATCTTCTGTATTCTGGTTTTCTGCTTTTGCTCTGATAATATCCTTTAAACAGGACTGAACTTGGTGTGTTTATTATTAAAGTCTATTGATAGAGGCAGGTGGAAATGCATGTCAACTTTTATAAACTACTTACCAGTTAAAAAATCTTGCGTTGATACTGTATTTATAGCTATGCCCAGTCTTTGTTGCCAGATGATAAACTTGCATTTGGGATTAATCCTTCACTTCTTGAGTGATAAGAACTGATGGGTTTCACATACTCTTATTTCCTCATTGTGCAGTCCACTAAAGGGCTGCAGTCATCTTCACAAAGGTAATTGCAACGGTGATGCTGTGGAAGTCTCTTGGGAAAAGGAATGGAGTGAAGAATGTTTCAGATGGCCCTGTAAGGAAAGATAAAGAGCAGCGTATGCTCAGGAGCAACACGTGACTTCTAGGAAAGAAAAAAAAAAAAAGCAGTTTTAGAAACTAATCTCTCATGTCAGGCCAGCGGGGCTGCTAATTGGCCTGATGTTTGGAGACTTAATTGAACTGGAAAATGAATTGAAACAAAGTATGTTGAAGGGGAAGACAGCAAAGTGAAAGATGCTACAGGGATTGTTAACAACTTGCTAAAGAACTTTAAGATTCTGGACTGCTACGGGAATGAAGTGCACCGCTCATCTGAGGCAATAAATGACTGTTGCTTTTATGGAAAGTAACTTTTTTTTTTTAGGCTTTCTTAAAAAGAAGTGAGTAAAAAAAAGAGAGCACTGACTGTAGTACAACTAAATCCTAAGGCTTTTCACTTTGTCATGCTGAACTAGTAGTTTGCGTGGAGTTATTAGTCCTTTGTTTCGTTGAGGTATTTAGTGTGTCACTTAAATAGTAGCTTACAAAGATGTGTAATTTCTTTTGTTAACCAAATTGATGATGAAAATGGAGGTCTCCCTTTTCTTTATTAAGAAAAGTATACTTACCAGTCTTCATCCAGTTTTTGGGATATTCAGTTGGGCAGATGGCTGGATATTAGAGAACATTTTAGATGTGTTTTTAGTTCATGGAAACTAGAAGGGAAACAAAAACAAGCTTCAGAAGTCTCTTAAGGGTTAGGGGCAGCAAACCCAACACCAACAAAAGAAAATAACCTTCTTACTTCCCAGTGAAGTAAAATGTCTCTTATCTTTGTGGTGGTGATACGCTTACCAAGAACAGTATGTGTCATCTACTTCAGTGAACTGGGAAAGGCAGCAAAGTGATGTTCCATGTCCCTGTTCCAAGTGATATTCCAAGTGGTTTTGGGCAGGAGAGAATTATATTTCTTGTCATTTAATTAAGACAGTTGTGGGTAACCTGCACTGTTTAGAGATTCAAATGTATTTTGGAAGATAAGAAAAACCTTCATGAGTTGTCTTTCAGCAAAATTTAAGAACAAGGGTGTCTTTTCCAGAGTTTAATATGTAGGTCAGCTTTCCTGCAGCAAATCTTGTTCCTTTCTTCTAACCTGCAGACTGGTAAGAACAGGAGGGGATGTGGGCTATCCTACCACTCTAAACACCAGCAGTGAAATTATTGTGGACTTGTACTGTACTGAGAGCAGCTGTCTGAAAAAAAAAAGTTGCTAAATGTTGCATATTATGACTCTAAAATTGCATGCACTTTCTCCTAACATATGTCACTTTTGCTCTCTATTAAATGGCAGAGAATTGAACTGCTGTGCAGTTGTCCTTTATTGACTTGTGTAAGTTATTTTCATACAAAAAACACTTACTGTAAGCTTCCCGCCTACCTCTGCCCTCACACAACCAAAAATGAATTTTTAGCACTGATAAGACAATTATGTTTGAGCATGTAGAAGCTGTTTACTGCTCTTGTAATGAATTTGCAGTATGCTACTCTAATAAAAATGGATGTTATTAGTGTACTAAGCATGCAGACTGCGACTAACTTGAGGTATTTGTGTAGTATAGGTTAAATTCCTGCTTGGCCTCTGAATATCTTTTCATGTAGACAACTCCATGCAGTTTTGCAGTAATAGCAACTCTAAAGTAGATTTATAGCCTTTGCTTTCATTTTCTTCTGAATCCCTTTCTACCATCTTTCTTCCGCACAAGTTAAATATTCTTATCTGGAGCATGAAGGTCTTTCCTGAAAGAAAATTTCAGTAGCCTAATAATCTTTGGAGGCGATTGTAATGAAATATTTACAAATGTATCTATTAGTAAGTATATATATTGGAAGGATTATTTTTCAAAGCATTCTTTGCTTTGCTGCTGTTTCTGTTAATTTTGCTACATTTCAGAGCTTGCAGCCACTGTGTAAATAGTACTGTTTTGTGATTATTTGAGTGTTTTTTCTTAAAAGCTGTTTGAAGCTGGTGCAGATAGCCTAACAGCTGGCACTGCATAATGATGAGTCAATACTAAGTTGCAGCTTGGGGAAGTCAAGAATTTAGAAACATAAAATAATACCGTGGAAAGACAACTGCTGTTGCTAATACCAGTAGCTAATTATTGGGAGTTAAATTACAGAGAACATGCTTTTATTTGAGATCTGCCCATCATCCCTGAACTTCCTTAAGGGTATAACTTAAATGACTGAATTGGTGTATATGCAGTGTTTGAATGTTGTCTCCAAGCAAATGAAGAAAACAAGCTTCAGTGCTTGACTGTACTATGTATAGACTAATTCTCAAATTTATGCAAACAATACTCAGCTGTTCAAGCTAGAATAAATTTAGACGTGCCAGTACCAGTGGTTCATGTTGGTTTGCTTGGTGTTGCTTGGGAATGTTATTACTTAAGCTTTCGTTTTTAAAATAAAATGTGCTTTGTTAAGATTCATAGAAATTTTCATAATGTTAGGTGTAACCTCTTGGTCGGATTTCTATTACTGTATCAATTCTAACATTATTACAGTTTTACCTCTTACTGCTTCCCTGCCTATGGTTGAAACAGGCTGAAGATGTTGAGGACACAGGTGACCTCAGATACTAGGCAGTCTTGATTTAAGATCATTTCCTTTGTGTGATGTTTTCACCTTGCAAAGGCTTATAGTTTCACTAAAGGTTTCTCCTTGGTTTTTGATCTCTCTAGACCATAAAGCATTTGCCATGTGTCTTAGTCCATTTTTAGTGGTTTTAACACTTAGTGATTTTTAAAAAGCATGAAATTATATTCCCTCAGTTTACAAAGATAAAAAGTATAATGCATATCACTTGAAGGATAGACACACATACGTAAAACCAAACTAAATTTCTGACTGCTTCTGCAAATGGTTATTATCATTTTTTGAGCCACTAAAATGAAAAGTTACTTTAGTTGCTTTACAACTTCGAAGATTTTTCAACATAATCTAAGCTTAATAGAAAATAAGCTTCAAAACTTTTGAAGTTTTATCTTGTAGGAGCAGGTAGGTTTGCAGTGATTTCTGTACCTTTTCAGTATGTTCTTTTAAAGCTGACACGTGTCAGCATTCAGACATTGAGTTTTAAATGGTTCCTTTTTGCATGTGGGATGCTGTAAGAGGTAGATTTCATTTTATGTGGTGTTATTATTAAATATACATCTCTGAGAGGAAGTTGACTATGTCTTTTGGCTTTCATCATGTTAAAAAACAACTTGCAAAACAGCAATTCATCATTTGTATGTTCTTCTTTTCCTGCCCTCTTATGGCAGTTAATGAAACAAATTTTAAAGTCAAGTAGAATGTCTTGTAGAGACAGACTGTGTACTTGGTATTTTTTTGTTGTTTTGTATTTCCTGTAGCTTTCTAGATATTTAAGGATATTCCTAGTTTTTGTAAAGGGAAGTGAAAAACCCTCAACTGACCTGTTGAAAGGTAAGTGGAAGAGAAAACAAGTCTGTTTCAGAGGAAGCCTAGATACTTTAAATAAGCACCCATTTGTAAGAACTTGAATTCTTGTATTTGCAGTAAGACATTTTTACTGTTTCAACTTCCCCTCAAATAGAAGGGTTACAGGAACACCTTGTTCTTCAGCATCGCCAGTCCTTTCAGCCTCTTGAAGGGATTGTTTTGTTAAATAGCAACATCTGTTCACGGGGGAGGGTGGAACATGAAGCAAATAGCAGTTTTGTTGGACACAGACACAGCTTGATTTAAGCTCTTCTGAGATGGAACTGAATACAACTGTTGATACAGAAAGCTTGATCTTCCAACATAGAGGCTATTTAAGCTTCTGTGCAAGCGTTTAGAATATACTGAAGTTGAAAGTCTGGTATAACAAGTTTTTCCCAAATACTGATGTTCAGTTTTGTTCTTATCTTTTTTCAGCAGTTAACAAATATTTTCATTTTCAGGGTGGATTGCAAGAAGTGGCTGAGCAGTTAGAGCTGGAAAGGATAGGACCACAACATCAGGCAGGATCTGATTCTTTACTCACAGGAATGGCCTTTTTCAAAATGAGAGAAGTAGGTGCACGTGTTTTGGTTTTGTCTTCATATTAGTAACTTGCTGTAATAGACGGAATTGCCAATTCTGATAAGTCTGATGTATTTTAAGGTGATTTTAAGGGGCTTCAGAGTTCACTGCTTTCTTGACAGATATAAGACTGTATTTTCCCCGCACTAAGTGTGAATCAGCCCTACTGTTTCCCTATTTAGCTACTGTGAGCATCGCTTCTTGTTTTCATCATATGCCTGGCTTTTTTTCTTTTCTTTCCATTCCCTATTTTGCAGAATTTCTTCTGCAGAGTGGCTGCTGGAGCCAGAGTCTTTTCAGAGTGACTGTATTCAGGCTGCTTTTCTGCAGAGCTTCTACTGAGCTGTGATACCCAGCTGGTGTGCACTACTGCCTGTGACAGGCCTAGCAGCAGGGAATGAGCAGCTCTGCCTGTGCTAGCTGCTTCCAGCTAAAACTTAGAGGGTACAATGTTCTAAAACATTACATGTTTTAATTAAAATTTTGCAGAAAAAGAAATCAAGTATTGTAAGCTTTTTATATCCTTGCTATTTGTGTATGCAGATACAATGGGAGAATACTAGGATATTTTTCATGAGCAGAATAAACAAATTCTAAACAGGCTTCTTGAAAGCAGTTACACTGGACAAATGCTAAGGCATCTGAATGTGACATTTTGACAGGAATTTAGTGTCATTTAATAAAGGCAATAGCAAGCCTCATCTTTTTATAAGGTTTAGTACTGCATGGTGAGGCTTCTACTTTCTGTAATATGGCCTTTTGTATAAAGGAAAAAAGCTGACCATGAGTTTCTGACAACTGCTAGTGAGACAGCAGGTGAAATATAAGTGCTGTGATGTGCTCTGGCTTGCTCATCACAACACTTTTCTGTCCTAAAATTGTTGATGTTGTCCAGCTGGTCACGGGCTACAGGTGCAGCAGAGGATTTTGCTTCTGATATGATCCACCTGTGATCCCCACAGGTGCTGTTAACTGCAATCTGCATGCTATGGTTAATCTCTTGTATTTGAAACAAAATCTAAAGCAAACAAAGGAAAGTATTTGATTGTACCTAAGGTGCTGACTTTCAAAACCCATGATCCCATGTAACAAATCGCATATTATTGAAGAAACAAATTATCTGCCTGAATTTGTCTAAGCTCTTACTCAGAGAAATGTAGCTTTTAGTGCAAATCAGTTGTTTAAATAAGTCAACAAAGACTGAGTATTTTTTCAGAGTTTGTTTTTAAAATACAACATTTTTGAAGTAAACAACTTTTGAAGTAAACTGCTAGTCAGCCACAGTAAATATGCTTAGTGTGCATTTCTAAAGCCTTTTCAGTTGAGTTCATTGTTTAGCAATATATGTTGGAGTGAAAAACTTTGTTTCACAATGTTTTTAAAGGTACAAAATGGTGTTGTTAATGTTAATAATTGCTTTTGGAACTTCAACTTGCTGGCTCTTCGAGTCCCAGTCAAAAAGTTCAGATCTTTTTCTTTCCATCAGAAATGTGTAAATATTGATGCTGGAACATCAAGCTGTGGTTTAGAGGTTTTCTTCTCTGTTTATGATTCCTATAGTATAGCACCTGAAAGGTTTTATTGATAATTTAGACTTTAAAGTCTTATGTAAATGCAGTCTTAGTAAAAAAAAAAAAAAAAAAAAAAAAGTTTTAATTTTGATGTTTGTTTGTTTCTTTTTTTAAATGAAGCCCTCCTCTTAGAGGAGGTAGCTAAGAAATGCAGGAAGATACATTTCCTAAACTCCATAATTCCTGTGCTCAAACATGTACCTCCTCGCTCTCACCTCACACCCACATAGTGTAAATCCATTTCAAGACAAGGTATGATGGAACCCCCCACAGTGATAAGCAGGTAAACTGTGGGCACTTGCAATGAATACCAAACATATATCTGTTGTGAGAAAGCAAATAGAAATCTCCTGGAGAAATATTTTGTTGCACTTCCAGAAAAACAAGTGGTAACTGAGGTGACGCCAAACTACCAAAACATGTGGATGTTTTGTCACGTGGGGTGCACAGAGTGACTGATGGTATTCCTTGATTGATTTACTTTAAAGAATTGCACTGTATAGCATGTTTTGATCAAGTGTTGAGATTAAATGTATTGTTATGCTAATTATTTGAATCTTGGGATGTGATATGCAATGCTAGAATCAACAGTAATGCTTTTAAACCTTTCTGTCATTCTGTTTAAACTGGGTGTTTTTGGTGGCATTAATTTGTGTCTTTCTTTTAACACTTCAGATGTTCTTTGAAGATCACATTGACGATGCCAAATACTGTGGCCACTTGTATGGCCTTGGTTCGGGGTCATCTTATGTACAGAATGGCACGGGAAATGCTTATGAAGAAGAAGCCAACAAGCAGTCATGACATGAAATGAAAGGCCATCTTTTTGAGCTCCAAATGCTTGTACATACGTTTTATCTCTGGTTGAACCCCTTGGACAATAAGGCTTTTCTCCCCCCTTTCTCAGCACACTTTCTTTTCTGCCTTTCTATGTACTAAACCTGACTGTTCCTATCACAGATTTTGATCTTAATATTGATATGTAGAATTTTATGGGTTACTTTTGGAGTCATAACTAGCCCATTTGTAAAGAAGCATGTGTAGGATCAGTGTGGCAGAGAGAAGGGGAAAGCTAAATCATAATGAATAGTATGGTAAACTTACCTATATTGGTCTTTGGTCTTAGGTTTTTTGTCTCTTTCCCATCCCTTCTCCAAATTAACTCATGCTGATTGTAACTAACTTCCCCGTTCATGTCTGTTCCTTCCAGTATGCAGGCGTTTTAGCTATTCAAGATTGTGGACCATCAAATTTGCACTTTAGAGAGCGACTCTGACTCAATCCTCTGTTTCATTTGAAGTTGTTTTTTTCTTCTGCCCTTAGCTAGGAAACAATAATCTTCCAAGTTCAACAGCTTCACACTGTATTTTTGTCATCTTTTGATATTTCAATCCATAGAATATGACACTTGCTGCATAACCTGCATTCATTCAAGCAAAACAAACTACTGAAACCATAGTAACTGCTGTTGTTTTACTAATGTTCTGCCATCAGACACATCCTGCACGTGCCAACTGCTTGTTGGCCTGCTGCTTTAGATCCGCTCTGTGAGGAGGGAAAGAAGCTTGAGAAAGCAGCTTTACACCCTTCAGGAAAAGAACAGCTCTGACTTTACCATCTTGCCATTAAGCTGAGATTTGAAGGCTATTGGAATAGTAGGAATTTTGTAATGGCCCACTTCCCTTGATTAACTTTTATTCTAGTGACGTATACTCCAAATATTTTTTTATGAAGTCATATTTATTATGTACTTGGTTTGACAATTTTTGGAAGTCAGTTTAGTTCAAGATAAAACCCAAAGATCTGAAGAAAAAAAAACCTATTTAAGTGGATTACTGAATCAGGACAACTAAATCATGCTTTTTTGTAGTTGCTACAAAGACAGATGTTACAGATATTTGTTGTAAAACAACAAAATATAAATAACTCAGAACAAATAAATTTACCTGAGGATTGTAATGCTAGTTTATTTTTGAGTATATCTTAGCAATATATTTTAGATATATTGTTTTAAAGGACCCTAAAATATGTTCTTATCTCTGCTTACCATGTGTACGGAGCAGTTGTGCAGGACGCATTTTTGGTATTGAATAGCTAAATCCAAGCCTGAAATGATGGAAAGTGTGACATTGTGTGCCTGGGTATGCGTGCGCGCGTAGGGGTGTGCGTGTTTCGCATGGAAATCAATCACAGAAAAACTCAAAATGTTCGCCAATTATTCTGTTTACCTTGTACTGCAAAGACAAATAACAAACAGCACCAAACACCTTTTTCATTGAGTTACAACAATGTAACTGGGTGGTCCTTTTTAAACAACAAATAATTTGCATAACAGAGGGTATTTGTTTTTAAAGCTTTTGTAAATAAAGGCCTAAAAAAATGTTTTCTTACATAACAAGACTGGTGGCTTTGTTGAAGTTTTGTTTTTTTTTTTTCTTCCCCTCCTGGAATGTGTGTATTACAGTCAGTAATGCTGTTTTGTTTGAACATGATGGTTCTCTTCCTCTGTTTGTGAAATGATGCAGTTCACTGCTTGTGGATTGATGCCTTATCCAGAGCGGAGTTCTTTGCACTGATTCCCACTGACCTGCATTGCTAGAGTGGTAACTAGAGTAGAGTGGTAACTATAGCTTAGACTTGAAGTGACCAAACCCCCCTGTTGATTTCTCTTGGTATCATTATGCAATAGGTAAGGGAGAGTTATTTTTGTTTGTCTTTGGCTTTAACAAGAAGATAGGTGCTGTCTGACAGAAGGGTACAATGATTCTTACTGTGGCATCAAACTACCTTTTAATATTTAGGTTCAACTGAAAATTTTGTGAAATCAATACATTTCTTTTCAACTTCAATAGGTGATAGAGGTAAAAATAATTAACTTTTGGAGGGAATGACTTTTCTAACTTTTCTTTGGGGTTTTGTTTTGAAATAATTTTTTAGGTGTAGGTGAAGGGATGTTTTTAGAGGTTTGTGAAGGTGTGTGTGGTAAGAGCTCTAGATCAGAGTGGGATATACTTTTCAAGTGACTGTCGTGCATCCAGCATTTTACTCTGCACCTTGCTTTGCTTCCAGTCTTGGGCATGGCAGAGCTGGGACTTCCTTTTGCTGGAAGAACGTAAACTGAAGGATAAGCTGCAGGTGTGCACTGGGTATCCCAGCTGCAAAGAACCATAAGCCTGCAGGATCAGGCTGTTTTTATAAGCCCTAACCTAAAATTCTCATGGGGCATTTGACTTTAAGAATTGTGTTCTTTAGTTTTTTTCCTGGGGCAGGAAAACAAAACAAAACAAAAAAGTCCTTAAAAGGCACTGATTAATATTAATTAATAATTTAATTAATATTAAACTAAGATTACGCATTATTCTGTATGAAAACTCTTTGTCTGATCAGATGTGATCCAGGGTGATGAGAGTTGGTTACAGCTGGGAGGCATCTATGCAGCACTGTTTCTGTGACAAAATTAGATTTAGTTTCCATTAAGGAGTGACTTGCATGGTGAGTTGTCAAGATTATGAAAAAAAAAAGGTAATTTCCTCTTATGTATAGGACTGTTACTTGTAAACTGTGGAGCCCGAAATATCAATCTGTTTCCAAAGTGGACGGAATTAATTGCTTTTGTGAAAATAAATGTAAAGGCAGAGTTCCAGCTGTCTAGACATGTACATTTTTGTTCAGAGACAGGAATTCTCTTTGCAGGCTTCTCCTCTTCCCAATCCATTTAAAATCTATTGTTGGAGGTTTGTCAGAAGAAATGCAGTATTTAAAGCTGTTGTCTGATTTGATTTTTTTTTTTTTTTCTCACTTGTATTTTTGGCTCTTAGAGTCAGATGTTTCAAGAACATTATGTTCTGTCACTTTTTTTTTTTTTTTTTAAGCATTTAATCCCTTTCCTTATTGAGAGTATGCAAGAAGAATCTTTGATATGGGAGAAAACAGGTCTGAAATGGATTTTGGGTATTTGGGACATTTTTCTGTTATGAATTTGGGGATGACCTGTACTTTTGACATCAAAAAATTTTCCTCAATCTGGTTACCTCAAGCTCAAGAATGATTAATTCCCTTATGCAAAGTCAAGTAAAAGTTGCAGGAAGCATGCAGTGGTGAACATGGAGATTCTGACTGAACTGAGATATAGAAAGAAATAGTACAGATTGTGGAAGGAGGGACAGATCACTCAGGAGTGATGCAGACATTAACTGTACAGTGGTTGGGCTAAGAAAGCAACAAACAAGCCTGAATGTTGTCACTGTAGTAATAAGGGTAGTTCTCTGGAGAGGAGCAGGGAACAGATGTCATCCCTGCCTTCAAAAGAGGACCCATGGTACTGCAGACCTCTTGGTGTCACCTCGGTCCCTGGGAAGGTTACGGAGCAGCTAATCCTAGAAAACATTTCTAAACAAAGAGGATAAGAAGACAATTAGAAGCCTGGATTTATGAAGGTGAGAGAGCTTCTGACTGAGCTGTGAGCAGGTATGTTTAGACAACATTGTCACAGGTCTCTCCTAGTGTTAACTTACATGAGATCTGGTGGTATTAGAGTATATCTAACTTGACCAGCCTGATTCCTGAATTAGTAGATGAGGCATGAGTAGGAGAGTCCTGCAACCATGAGATACAATTGCTGCTTGTCGGTCACCCAGAGGACACGCCATGCAGTGAAGATGTAGTGGTTACTTTATGTTTTAGTTTATGGATTGGAAGACATAACTGGTGTAATGAACAGTTTTGTGTAAGGTCTGTGCTTTTCCTCTTCGCATGCTCTTGCAATGTTGGGTTTGGCTGAAATAAGAGATGACTGGTTCTGTGTGTGACAGTGGGGCATCATGAACTCTTGGAGCTTATGGGTGCAGTGTGCCTGGAAGTCAGTTATTGTCTATCTGGTTTCATTTAACTTCAAATTACTCTATCAAAGATAATTCTAGTACTGCTTTAAATGGGGGAGCCTGAACAGTTGCAGAGAGCAGAGTGGATCTGAGCAAGATGTTGAGAGGGCTCTAGTCACAGTGGGATAAGCTGGCTGCTAACAAGTACGCTTCATGTATAGCTTTACATAAACACAGTTAAGACACTTCTGTGGTGTTATAGGTTGTGTTTCCATTAATTACACAGCACCGGTGGTATTAATTTTCATGCTAGGAGCATCACCTTAAACACTGACTTAAGTAACAGTGTACTTCAGAGTGGAAGTTACAGAATCAAACCTATCTTTTTTGAGAGGAAGGTAAGATTTTATATTTTCATTTTATAGTGCTAAGTAGAGTTTCCCAGGTTCTAAGCATTAGTGCTTAAGAAATCTTGCTTTTAATCGTGTTGGCTGAATGTTCTTAAGTGGTAGTTGCTGTTTAGCTATGTGAAATACTTTTGCTTCCTTTTTTTTGTGGTCACTTTAAAAAAAAAAAATTGATGAAAGGCTGATTAAATCAGCTTGCAAAATGAGTATGTTGGAGTCCAGTGTTCTCTGACAGGGTTCCTTTAGGTATTCCACATAAGAAATTATTGGTTCAATACTAAGCTTATTTGAAGGTGTTTGATATTGTCTGGGATTTTTTATTTAGAAAAGTGATAAAGCAATATACTGAAATCACAACAGAACCACAGCATAGCAGTTATAATACACAGCTGAACCTCCTTCTCATTACTGGTTTCCATGTGCTTACCATTGTGAAGTGGCATGTTAAGGTTGTTTTTTTTTTCCCTTGCATTGGTCTGAGCTGCATTGACAGAATGAAGATGTAGCTTTATAAGGCCTGGTGTTGGTGGCTTCATTTATTTTCAGTATGCTACATACAACTAATGTGCTATTCAAAGGAAGAGGGGGAAGAAAGGCAACAAACTTGAGACCTGCATTAGGCTCCCAAGGGTATATCACTACTTGTTTTGCCAGTGTGCTTTTTAGCTGTTCTTTTTCCGTTTTGCCAAGTGTCATTTTTACTTGAGAGAAGAGCATTTCCAGATCTTCTGTTTTTGAACTTCCACCTGATTTCTTAACTTGTCTAAGCTAGTTGAACACACTGAAAGAAAAAAATAATTCCATAGTCAATCATTGTTAAGAAGTTCTCAATGAACACCAGCTGTTTAACATTCCTCTTACTGTTAATTGTGAGTTCAGTGCAGTTAAAGGAATTGTGAAGTTATTATTTTGCACGTGAATAAATTAAATAGAGCTCTCAAGCTCTGTGATAAGTCAGTGATGCAAAGGGAGCCAAAAGCATCCAAGAAAAATCCAATCAAATTTATGAGATATATCACTTGTAGAATTAGAACAAAATCTCACAAATAATACAACCTTTTTTTTTTATGTAGACTAAAATACAAATTGTCTTGAGCTACTTCCCCAGTCATAATGTGAAGTTGTTTGTCTGGTATTCCTCAACCTGAATGTACCTTGGCTGGTTTACAGGAGCTTGTTTAGGTGTTTTCTTCTCTCTTGCCTTTGTAGGTGTGGTAGAGAAATGAGGAGGATTCTCCTCCATTGTTCTGTTTCAGGTTGGTAATTTGCTTTCTAATGCCAAATGTAAAAATTTGATTTTGGCAGAGGCTTCTCTTGTTCTTTTCCTGCCAGCACAGATTTTCTTTGCTTGTGCTCAAGTGGGGGAATTCTTTAGCCTGAGTGAGCTTTTTCCTGCCTCAGCTAACTGATGATAATGCAAGGGAAGTAGATGGAGGAGAAAATAGGCCTTTCCTTCTACGGGAACTGGAAATCAGCAACAGCTGAATTGTGAAGATCAAGTGGCATTACATAGAACATGCTATATCTTTTTTAGGGTAGTAGTTTTGACCTGTGGTTGCATTTATCA